GTTTTCGAATATATAAGCTTGCTCAAATGATCGCAGGTTAAAATATGACTCATTTTGGTATCTTCAAATGTCACGTCGTCACGTAGTTTTCAAAACTTCCAGGCATTATGTGTCATCAGTAGAAAATACTTCTTGGAAGTGTAATATCACTTGAAGACTATCAAAGTTACGTATGTCATTTGCGAATTCCCCAGACGCACAAATTATCATCCGCGTTACGTTTTTACACTTGTTGCCAGAGTTTCGTCATTCGGTGACGACGCATCGGCGCCCTACGGCTGCGTCCCTACTATACTTCGCTATCCCCTCCATTTTCTAACCATCTCACGCTCATCACGGTTTCAGCATATGCAACACTACACAGCAGCATACCTCAATAACTGTGGTGGAAAACGGAGCTTTTAAGTCTCATTTCGAAAATGTACAGCTCGTCAATTGTAAGAAGAGATTGTCGTGTCTAGACTAGTCAGGAGAAAAATTGTCTGGCAGTCTGCTTGTCTAGGTAACATTTTTGCAATGAGAGGTTGATACTCCAAATCATCTACTCCAATGTGGTGGTTATTACCCTTTCATTATAACCAAGTTAGCGACTTTGACAGGGGTAAAATTATTGCCTATCGAGATGTTGGTTTGTTCTATCGCGAAATTGGCCGCCGTGTTGATTTACTGCAATGACGGTAAAGCGTGTGTGTCGTGTGTGGATAAAAGAAGGTAGAGGAACAAGAACAAGGCGAACTGGTCCACCGAGGCGTACCACAGAGTGTCAATTTATGCGCTTCAGACAACTGGCCCTACTAGACCGTTTTGCTACTAGCGAATGTTGTATTCTTTATGCAACGGGAAGGAGAAGGAAATCTCTTAAAGATTTGAAGAAAGTCCAGGAGCGTACAGCCATGGCCACGTGAGTTAGTCTATCGACGACTATTAGGAGAATTTCTCGCAAAATGAAATCTGTTGCTTCGACATCCTCTTCGACACCAAACAAAAAAAAGTGTATGTGTGTCGTGTGTGGATAAAAGAAGGTAGAGGAACAAGAACAAGGCGAACTGGTCCACCGAGGCGTACCGCAGAGTGTCAAGGTATGCGCTTCAGACAACTGGCCCTACGAGACCGTTTTGCTACTAGCGAATGTTGTATTCTTTATGCAACGGGAAGCAGAAGGAAATCTCTTAAAGATTTGAAGAAAGTTCAGGAGCGTACAGCCATGGCCACGTGAGTTAGTCTATCGACGACTATTAGGAGAATTTCTCGCAAAATGAAATCTGTTGCTACGTCATCCTCTTCGACACCAAACAAAAAAAAGTGTGTGTGTGTGTCGTGTGTGGATAAAAGAAGGTAGAGGAACAAGAACAAGGCGAACTGGTCCACCGAGGCGTACCGCAGAGTGTCAAGGTATGCGCTTCAGACAACTGGCCCTACTAGACCGTTTTGCTACTAGCGAATGTTGTATTCTTTATGCAACGGGAAGCAGAAGGAAATCTCTTAAAGATTTGAAGAAAGTTCAGGAGCGTACAGCCATGGCCACGGGAGTTAGTCTATCGACGACTATTAGGAGAATTTCTCGCAAAATGAAATCTGTTGCTCGACATCCTCTTCGACACCAAACAAAAAAAAGTGTGTGTGTGTCGTGTGTGGATAAAAGACCGTAGAGGAACAAGAACAGTGCGAACTGGTCCACCGAGGCGAGTGTCAAGGTATGCGCTTCAAACAACTGGCCCTACTAGACCGTTTTGCTACTGCGCGTCACAGTTAGCGCTTCCTCTGACTGCGGACGACTTTTTAGGTATAGTCTAGCGTCGTGTTGCTGTATACTATCGTATATATCGCGCCCGCATCCCGGTCACAAATCCCGGCGCAGCAGCGCGAGCTTTCGGGGTGGGGGGTGATTAGTCTCGATGTTCCCGGGGGCGTTCTGCTTTTGCCCTCCTGGCACCCCCGCATCGCCGATTTTCAAGAATTGATTTTGCGGACGGTGCGACACATCCCCTTTAACGCTTTTTTAGGAGCGTATTTTTTTCTTTCGTTGTTTCCAGAAGAAATACGTTGCTGCTGGGAAGTATTATTTTCGACAGAGAATCGATAGATAGATATTGTTTATTCGATCGATCGTTGAGAAATGACAGTGAATATGTCAGAAAAGTTATACATGAATGTCGGTAGAGGAAAAAATAAAAATTACAATATTGAAGCGTAAAAGTTCTTAGAATTTAATAAAAAGGACTACAGCATAGATACACATACAGCACATGTTTATAAAAAGAAAACATATTTTGTAAAAAAATTGTAAAAAACACAATTAAATTAAAATAGAATAGATTAACTAACATGATAACGAAATTAAAATTGATAAAAGTCATAAAATGAAGGCTAACTTCCTGTGCATTTAAGAGCATAAATATACTGTCATCCTTACGATTTCCGTTGAGGGATAATACGTTTTTTTTAAAGTTATAAATTACGATTTTCCCATATTTTTTGCGTTTTCGAAAACTTTGAGAAGCATTACGAAAAATCACAGAAAATATAGCAATGACGCATCACACATAAAACATTTATGCACTGCCAGGAAATAAAAAATAATGTAAAATGTAATAACTTTTTCACGTTTCATAAATATTGTCTGTGGCATAATTTCTTCTCAAGGGATTTTCTGTCATTTTTGAAATTTAGCAAATTTGAATACCGAGCGTCTAGTGTCAAAACGTTATCAAATATTTTAGGCTTATTTTCAGTAAAGACGAAAATGCATTTTTTAATATCGGTTCATTCCTGGAATCATTCAAAATAACACGTATCAAATCTTAGATTGTTGTTTACGTGTTTACTCTTATCATTGATAATTTGTGACAAATTTTGATTTCAACATTTTCTGCTTCGTTCCAACTTGGTTTTTCATATAATGTAGCCTTTATTCTATAATCACTTGGAAAATAGCTTAAAATCAATATCATTGCCGAGTTTTCGCGAGCAAGTCAAAAGCAGGCTACTCGTCATAGGCTAACACATTCAGCTATACAGATATAGACATTTTTACGCTCACATAGATATATAGGGTGTCTGCGAAAGGTTGGTAAACCACTTACAACACTATTTCGGTAAATAACTTATCAAAACTCTTTTGTGCTACCCTGTGTACAACAACCGACCGAAAAATCTTGTTATCTCGTATTTCCACAAGAAAATAGGTTTACTTGTTAGAAGTGTTTAAAGCTAACAGTTTTCGAGAAAGAGGACTCTTTATACTTTTTTAATTCTCTCTAGCTTTCAATGGACTTTGCCATCATCATCAGGAGCTGCAATTACAATGATAACAGTAGCAACAAAAGTGTAAAATGAATTTAAATTGACTCAACTTACAGTAGTATGCGAGGATGTTGCTAATTGTTGTTTACGTATAGGATGAGGGAAACGTCCAGTAACATGGTGAGAGCTGGATAGATGGTACAATGGTCAAAATTATATAAAATATGACAAGAACAAGTTAAAAACAGATTAAAAATTATTTAAAAAAGCATTACATCGTGAAGCCACTTGATGTTTGCACAAAATGGTGGTCATGGAATAGTGAGTGAGATGAAACCCTTTGACAGAAGGCCGAAGGTTGTCAATGTCTGTGTTGAAAGATGGAACGAATTGTGGGCGTGTGCCCAAACGTCGCCAAATCACTTCAGATGATGTGATTTTCAGAATGTTATGTAAGAAATTGTTAAACCGACCAGAGGCAGTTGAATAAACTATATTTTAATTAATGGGAATTTAAATTAACAATTATTAATAAATCGTGAGAAGAGAATTATTATATTTTGAGTGGAATGAAATTTACTGGTGGAATCGGCCAAAACACAGATTCTATTTATGGTTGTGAAGAGTCGAAATTTGGGGAGATATGTAAGTTCTCCAATTTTTCGCAGTTTAGCAAATATTAGTAAATGACACTCAGCTGTTTAACATCTGTCTTTTTGTTGATACAAATGTTATACATGAAAATGTGGGACATTTCCAGGAATAAACGTTTGGAAAGGTGTTTTTCTTTATCAAGAACTTTCAGGATGAAGCCTAGCATCACTTTTGTGTGATGTAATCCTTCCTTTAAGTAGACATAGACAGTTAAGTGTAGAGCAGCCTAGGTTGAGCTTCGCTGCTTGTGTCTCTTTTCGTTGTTTGCATTCAAATATTAAATATTATTAAAAACCTACATAATATCGGAAAAAAACTATATGTCAAAAAACCGACATAGTCACGTTTCATGATACCCCTGCGAATGTCCCCTACGCCACTGTTACTTAACGATTTGACGTATTTTGAATGATCAGTTGATATTTGTTATGGTTAGTCCTGATATAGTGAAAAATAGTATTAAAACATTACCTTTACTCTTTCCTTGCTTACGGCAGAGGAAGCAGAAAATGAAACCCGTCATTCAGGAAAGACACATAACCTTCAAAAAATTCTTGTTTTTTCCACTATAAACCTCTAGCAAATATGTGTCTTTCCTTTTGAGTTCATTCTTTCTTAGCCACAAGGACTAACAAAATTTAGATTGAGTATTGATGCGCATGGTACGTGTTCACGTTTGATCTGATCGGGATACAGGACCGGATTACGTTTTGCTCAGGTAGAAATCACGGAGAATCTTGAAAAACGATCTGTAAGCACTCGTGAAGCCTCTGTAGCATTTCGAAGACTCTCACCGTAAATTAAAGTAATATGAATTTTTTTTGAGAATCGAACCGACATAGACAGTTAAGCGTAGAGCAGCCTAGGTTGAGCTTCGCTGCTTGTGTCTCTTTTCGTTGTTTGCATTCGAATATTAAATATTATTAAAAACCTACATAATATCGCAAAAAACCTATATGTCAAAAAACCGACATAGTCACGTTTCATGATACCCCTGCGAATGTCCCCTACGCCACTGTTACTTAACGATTTGACGTATTCTGAATGATCAGTTGATATTTCCTATATTCCTGATATAGTGAAAAATAGTATTAAAACATTACCTTCCATGAAATCGACGGCGAAAAAATTCAAACAAAAACGGGTTAGGACGTCCTATGTAACAAAATTGACACATCTCAAAATTTCTCACAAATACGCGACAATTTTTACTTTCACACACAATATATACTCTTTCCTCGCTTACGGCAGAGCAAGCAGAAAATGAAACCCGTCGTTCAGGAAAGACACATAACCTTCAAAAAATTCTTGTTTTTTTCCCCGGTCAACCTCAAATATACTAAGTGACATATAAATCCGAACACCCAGTTTAAATGGTTTTATTTTAATAAAATTTTGTATAAGTACTTAATGAAGCATAATAAGTAAATGATAAAAATTTCAAAATGATTGCACTGCTTTAAAGCCCTTTGACCTTTAATAATGTGTGGATGCACCCAACGCGCCTAGGCATGCTTCTGATCAGGTGGTCAATGTCCTCCTGTGGTATCTCAATCCAGGTAACCACCAACTCCTCTCGAAGTGCTTCTAGAGTCTGAGGAGGACGTTGCAAATTGAGCAGTCTCCTACCCATCATATCCCACACGTGCTCAATTGGGGATAAGTCGGGAGATCTTGGTGGCCATGGTAACAATGTGACATCATTATGTTGAAAGAAGTCTATTGTGACTCTTGCAACATGTGGTCGGGCATTATCTTGTTGGAAAGTTGGATATGCCAGGGTGTCGAGATAGGGTAAAAGATGGGGTTCTAGAACTTCGTGGATATAACGCTGCGCGTTCATGTTACCTCTGGTGACGTGGAACCATAAGCTATAGCACCCCAAACCATAACTCCAACAGTGTGATGAACATGTCTTTCAACAAAAAACTGTGAATTCCTCCTTTCACCACGTCGCCTTCTAACCCTGGCACGACCATCGTGCATGCCTAAACAAAATCGAGACTCGTCACTAAAGACAATACTGTTCCATTCCTGATCCCAGAGTGACCGTTGTCTGCACCACTCAAGGCGATTACGTCGGTGTTCTCGAGTTAAAGGGAGGACCCAGTGTGGCCGGTATGAAAACAAGCCAAAACTTCTCATTCGTCGGTAAACACTTCGCATGCCAATAGGTCTTCCGTGTTCTGCAAACCATTCATTTGCAATGGACCTGGTAGTGGAGAAACGGTCCCTTAAGGCCAATAATCTTAGGCGGCGATCTTCACGGTCTGTTGTTCTACGGCGGCGTCCAGTGCTCCTTGCTCTTTGCGTACGGCCTTCTCGAAATAAAACCAATTAAACTGGGTGTTCGGATTTATATGTCACTTAGTATATGTGTCTTTCCTTTTGAGTTGATTCTTTCTTACCCACAAGCACTAACAAAATTTAACCCTCGTGATTTTTTTTGCGAACGAAATACTATGATGTGCATAGCCCGACATGGGGTCTCTGCCTTCCCGGCTCGTTTAATTATAATCGTTAATTTTTTAATGCGTGCGTATGCAATATATCAAAACAGAATTTCTCACCTTTCGATCTGTAAAATAGATATTTTTCGCGATTTCGATACTCCCTTGGCTTTGGAGTGGAGTCGAAAAACGCGCCAAATTCAAAAAATTGTGTCGTTGACTTTGCTTGATCGACCAATTGACGTTTATTCACCAACTGAGATTAACGAGTTATCAAGATATCGTTCTGGAAAAGCGCAAAAGTAAAAAAAAATTTTTGGTGTTAATCAATGTTTGAAGTTCGTCGTTCACATTTTTTTTTGAATATCTGCAACAGTCAATTGAATGAATGAAATGTAACATTTCTCCTATGTTTAAAGAAAGCAATGATTCAATAATGACCAGACGCAAAAGAAATTACAAAAAACTGCACGGCAACGCAACGGTATTTCGATTCAAACTGTTACTAACGAGAAAATACGAAGAACCATAACTGTGTTTCGGCGAAGATTGGAAAAAATTAAAATGTAATAGACTCCGTACCTTCGTCATTGTTATAGACCGAGATCCCATATGTTTCGATATATCCATCCAAGTACGATTCGCTACAAATTTGGTGATCTATCAAGTGTGGTCAAGAAAATTTAAGGGAAGAGGAAATTTTTCATAACTCTTCTCTCATAACATTTAATACAGGGTGTTTCACAACTTATCCGACAAATTTTAACCTGATATGCACTGTTAGGAAAAAAGTTGATTTCTCAAAAAAAAAACGTAATAAAAGTCTTACAGAAATCAAGTTATAAACCTGAATTTCAATAATAAATTGAAAAATAAATATCTGTATTTTGCGTTCATCGTCGTGATATTAGAACACACATTAACAACTGACCAAAAGAAAATACCAGGAATTTCTTGTTTTTTAATACTGATAAGAACGTGTAAATAAGGTTTAATCTGTATCGTGGGTGATCTGAATGAAGAACGGTCGATTTTTGTTAAATAAGAACGTATTTTGCGAGTTTATGTTTTTAGTTATTTAATAATAAAAATGGAACATGTGTACACTAATGAGGAGTTAGTGGACATTGTTTTAGCGTACGGAGCAGGGCAAAATTCGCGAGCGGCTTCTCGCATTTAGTTCAATTGTTTTACGTGCACGTGCTTTGCAAAATATACTAAGTGCCATATAAATCCGAACACCCAGTTTAAATGTAAATAACAAGTGAACAAATTTTCAGCCTTATCAGTTGGACATTCCGGTTTTTATACTGCTTTTTTTTAATTCACTAACGCTCTAAAAATGAATATTTCAGCCGCAGTAAAGAATCAACGTTGGCGGATTTTGGTTCTTGACATCCTTTACGATCGGTTACGATGCCTAGAGTACGGAGACCTGTACGATTTCGTCAACTTAGTGAGTTTGATAGGGGCCGTATAGTGGGACTTCGGGAAGCTGGACTTTCTTTTCGGGCAATTGCAGTTAGAGTGCAAAGAAGTGTAGACACTGTGGTTAGGTGTTGTCAGGCATGGCTTCGAGAAGGCCGTACGCAAAGAGCACGGGGCACTGGACGCCGCCGTAGAACAACAGACCGTGAAGATCGCCGCCTAAGATTATTGGCCTTAAGGGACCGTTTCTCCACTACCAGGTCCATTGCAAATGAATGGTTTGCAGAACACGGAAGACCTATTGGCATGCGAAGTGTTTACCGACAAATGAGAAGTTTTGGCTCGTTTTCATACCGGCCACACTGGTTCCTCCCTTTAACTCGAGAACACCGACGTAATCGCCTTGAGTGGTGCAGACAACGGTCACTCTGGGATCAGGAATGGAACAGTATTGTCTTTAGTGACGAGTCTCGATTTTGTTTAGGCATGCACGATGGTCGTGCCAGGATTAGAAGGCGACGTGGTGAAAGGAGGAATCCACAGTTTTTTGTTGAAAGACATGTTCATCACACTGTTGGAGTTATGGTTATATGGCTATAGCTTATGGTTCCAGGTCACCTTTAATCTTCATCAGAGGTAACATGAACGCGCAGTGTTATATCCACGAAGTTCTAGAACCCCATCTTTTACCCTATCTTGTCACCCTGGCAGATCCAACTTTCCAACAAGACAATGCCCGACCACATGTTGCAAGAGTCACAATAGACTTCTTTCAACATAATGATGTCACATTGTTACCATGGCCACCAAGATCTCCCGACTTATCCCCAATTGAGCACGTGTGGGATATGATGGGTAGGAGATTGCTCAATTTGCAACGTCCTCCTCAGACTCTAGAAGCACTTCGAGAGGAGTTGGTGGTTGCCTGGAATGAGATACCACAGGAGGACATTGACCACCTGATCAGAAGCATGCCTAGGCGCGTTGGAGAATGCGTAGCACATCAGGGTGCATCCACACATTATTAAAGGTCAAAGGGCTTTAAAGCAGTGCAATCATTTTGAAATTTATTATGCTTCATTAAGTACTTATACAAAATTTTATTAAAATAAAACCATTTAAACTGGGTGTTCGAATTTAGGTTAGTGTTTATAATAAATTACCTGATGTAAAATTGAAAATTAGAAAAGTACTTAAAAAATTTCTTGTTGAATAAGCATGTCTGAATTTGTTGACGTTTAAACATTTTACGTTCCTTGTGTGTACCTGACGAATCCGATGCATATTTTTGTCTTCTGGATAATGAACAATTAAATCGAATTGAACTGACCACCTAGTCAAATCTAAGGTGCGTTTGAGAATTTTACGAGAGATCGCGAAAAACACTACGCATTTTTCGTACATCGTATGTCTATAACACCCTGTATAACCTGTCGAATGTCAACTCATTCCGTGGTGCACGGGATCTTAGACTGTAATAGCAATCGCAAGTTTGCATTAGACAGGGATTCCGAGCGGTGCTGTTACTTTGCAGTGCATTAATTTTAACTAGGCATTTACCGTTAGATTACGGTTTGTTCGAATTGTTCCAGTAAAAATTCAGCGGCCGACTTTGACTGTAATGAATGAAAGGAGACACGGCGGTGGTATAAGGTATATTACCAGTCAACGTGACCAAGGTTGCCTTTCGTCCCGTCCCCTCCGGCAAAATTTTTACGCGTCCTTTGACAAACTTGATTTGAAATTGGACAATGCTCGTATATCTCCTAGCTTTCTGTCACTATTCAGATAATATTTGTCAGACAGGAAGCAATATATTGAGTACGAACGTTGCCAGCTTCGGGTGTGCCTCAAGGCTCACGCCTAGGTCCTGTGCTTTTCATTATTTTTATTAACGACATTGTTAATAATATTACCGTTTGATGCATGCAGGTGACTTGACAAACGACAAAAACAATCAATTAGCAAATGCAGTGTAAGAAAGATGGTTCCCATTTAAGTCAATTATCAGATCGATAATGGTCCTCTGCAGAGCGTAAGGACATAGGTACGATCTTTGACAATTCTTCTAGCTGTTAATAGATCATCGGGATTTGTGTACAAACTCCGAGGACTTTACTAACATGAAAGCAATAATCCTCCTCCTCCTTCGTGTCATCTAAGAGTATGCAAGGGTAGTATGGAACCCCTGCTATGTGACCGCAGCCTTGTAGCCTAAGTCCTTGAAGTTTTTATCTTTTAAAAGCGAGGTCACATATCCACCTATAGGAACCTCTCAACCCGAGCTATTGCAAAAACATGATTTTGTTAGTTTAGATAATAAAAGGAAGGCAGATTCCCTTGTATTTCCGTACAAAACTATCCTTGGTATTTACGATTCCCATCATTCACATCGCTGTTCAAGGTTCAG